CCCCAAAACCCCAAAACCCCAAAACCCCAAAACCCCGGGGTATGTGAATTTTATTGAAATTTTTTCTTGGGGATTTTTTGGAGGAGTTAAGTAATTTTAGAGTTAATTAATGATTCTATATCAAAATAGGCATATCCTTGACTTAAATGCTTATAAATTTATTTCAGAACTTAGTATCATTATTGACAATATTAGAAAATCTGAATTTATTAACTCTTTATTTTATTCCTCTTGACTCTTGATCGCATGAACTACATAATGCATCTTAGACCTTGCAATAATTCATAAAAGTAAGTTTAAATAGCCTCAGTCATTAAAGTTTCATTATTTTATTGTCTTCTTTATCTAAGTCATTTGGGAAGCCTTTTAGTATTATTATTTTAGATTAAATATGAGTTAATAGTGCCAAGTAAACTGCCTTTTGAAATTTTGGATAGCTCTGATATCTCTTCAAATAAGATATATAGGCATTAGGGCGACTTTATAAATCATTAGAGATGATTAAATACACTTCATGTGGTTTCTGAGTTTCTTACTCAATTTAAATTTCTTCTTGACTGAGTTTTATTACCTTCTCAAAGTTGTCAAATTTTTCACCTCATTTATATGAGGCTTATAATTAATTATACAGTATAAAGAACCTTCCAAGTGCCAAGAATTTGAAACTTGATTTTGAACCATAGAGATCATATCAAGATTATTAATAGTTTTAGGATCCTTACTAGTAAGTCTTCATTAATTTGGGCTTTTCAGGTATCACTAATTTAAATTAGCAATAATTTGGTTCGATACTTTTGATAATTTTTATAAGCTTCTTCGAAATTAGTAAATATGGCCGAGCTCCCTCTAGAATTTATCTAGTTTTAGAATTCAGCAGAGTAGACTGACCACTCACAGATTATCCGGGGATCTTGACTTTGTGTGCTCCCTGAACACTAGCATAAAATAATTAAATTTAACAGACAAGAGAATTCGTCATCCAGTCTATCGAAGAGATTATAATAAAGAGTTATCATGAGTGTCTATTTTATCAGAAGTTCATATAAAAAGTGGGATCTATGAACATTCTAATGTAAATCTGAGCTCCAATGTTTCCCCTAGTTCTTTATCTTAATAAATCTTGATAATCTCCAAATTTTGTCTTCTTCATTGATATTTCAATTTCTGTAAACCATAATTTTTCAGATTTTCACCAGAAAATTCAAAGAGTCCAGTAACAGAGAGTCTAGTGTAGCTATGATAGACTTAAAGTTAGTAGTGACATAAATACGCAGAATAGCTGTTTATACAAGAAGACTCATCAAGATTCTCCACTGATAGGAGTCTTGGCACATGAAAAGTGTATATCTGTTAGTAAGCACAATCATGCTGCTGATGGGAAACTAAGTAAATGAATAAACCCCAAAATTTCCCAAATTATTTGAGATCAAGCTCATTAAATTTTGCAATGTTTTTATGAAGAAAATTATTAAGTCATATTATTAATTATTCCTCTCTTTTCATAATGTTCTTCATGATCGTGGTTAACGAAATTCAGGTTTATTCAATTTTTAATGCTTTTCTGAGAGCTACTCCAATGTGATCAGACGCCTGAGAGAGGATAAACCTTCATAAAATCCTTAAGCTGCTTGATTGCATTGACTTCTTAAGTCTTTTGTAAGTGAAATTACTACTTGTTTCTTTGAAAATAGATATCTCCTTTTTAATTTTTTGCTTGCATCCTAATTCAGAGGGTTTCTTGAGATTCAGAATTCCTACTGTGTAATAAACCAAATCACCTGCAAGAAGGTCACCAGGAATAATAGTAATCAGAGTTGTTTTCATAGCTTCAAAAATTTGCATTGGAGTTCAATTGATATATCTCTCATTGGTAATTTTGATGTTCAGAGATCTGAAAAGTTTCTTCATGAACTTTTTCACGAACCTAAGAGCTTGCTTTATTTCTGCATCAAGCCTTGGCTTAGCTTTTCTGCCTCTTTTTGCTCTCCTATTCTTCTTATAGCTCCTCTGGTTAATTTGAGTTTTCCTTTTGCTGGTCTTGAGCTTTCATTTCCATCTCTGATGAACTATTTAATGGACTATCATTAATTTCTAACTCATTTTGGTCATAAGCTAATTGTGGAATATTCATTCCATTTAGATTTCCTTTACCAAACTGAGTCTTCTCAGGATATGACTTAAGAGCCTGATTCAAAGTTTTCCTTAACAGCAAAGGGTCAATTATCCCAAAAGCACTCCAATCTTGCATCATTTCTCTATCCTACAGGAAGTTATTACCAAAATTCTTCATGAATTTTGAAGTTATAAATTAGTTCTCACAAATCATCACAATAATGAAAAAGGATGTGAATTGCTAGTCGTAACGAGCTGACTTACTTTCTCTTGCCCTATAGATGTCATGAACACATTGCCGTAGTAATTACAACTTCTAGAGTTTTGTAAGTCTTCTAGCCAAAAGAATGCTTTTGAAGAGTCCTGATGTGATAATATATGGTTGTTCATATTAATAGATTGTTGTATAAAGTAATAATTTCACACTATCCAATTTTATATAGATTTACAGGGGTTTTGGGGTTTTGGGGTTTTGGGGG